TAAAAATTGTCAAAAATTATTTGGTGAACAGGAGGAGCGGGATGCAGTTTTGGCCAAGATTGAAGTCTCCCAGGCTCATTTAGAGCTGCTGAAGCGAACTAATGTGCTAAATGATGCCTTCCCTATTTGGTATGATGGGGATTTTGGAACTATTAACAATTTCCGCCTGGGAAGACTTCCTAAAGTTCAAGTATGTAATTTGCTAATGGGTGATTTGTGCTGTGGCTTTTTAAAATTTGAAGAACCACTTTTCAATTAAACTTTTCTTCTGAATTTCTTAAGGTTGAGTGGGATGAGATAAATGCTGCATGGGGCCAAGCTTGCCTTCTCCTTCACACTATGGCTCAATACTTCCGGCCAAAATTTCCGTATCCTATTCTTACAGTTGGATGTTTTACGTACAATTTCTACCAGTCGCGTGATACAGTTTTTCTAGTAGTGGTTTGGTGGCCCGATTGCACTAATGGGCTTAGTTTGAGTTCGTATGCCAATTTTATATTTTCTTTCTTTTAGTATAATATTTGAACTTTCTGAACTGAAATTAACCTTACCTTACCAATGACTTCATCCTTTTTCCACGTTTATTCCTTAATTCATATGTACTAGATATCGCATCAAAATTCTCCCCATGGGAAGTTACCCTCGGATAATGGACAGCAGTAACAATACTTATGAGCTGTAAGTGTAAAACAGTGCTTTTGAGTTTTAACATAAATGTTAAGATGCTGATTCCACTTTTTGTTTTGATGAGATATCAATTTTAGAGTCCAATTCCAAGATACTTTATGAACTTTATGATCCGCACAAATTCCAAGTTCTCAAAATATTATTAAATAAATTGTATAAATTTCCCTCAAGGTCAGTAGAGTATACCTCAATCCATACATTGAAGCAATTACACTGTTATCCTGTAGTTGGATAATGTAGCAGCATAATTGATGTTTTATGTAACACAGCTTTGGTCCAGTGAATGTGTTCTGGAGTACACGTTATGACAAGGCAATGACATTGTTCCTGACCTGCCTAAAGGAGTTTGCAGAGTTTGCAAACTTGAAAGATAAAGAAAACAATATCCCTCCTGAAAAATGCTTTAAGCTTCCATATAAGTAAGTTCTTTGCTGGTGTATTGTTATTTACATTCCCAAATTTATAAATGACATAAAGAACACCTTCAGTTTTTGGGAAAAGGTTAATTTCTGAAGGTACCCTGAGAATAACTTAATTTGAAAAAAAAAAATAATAAATCTATCAATTTATAACCTATTCTTCCCTTGGAACTCTATATCCTTCAAAAACTCTGCAGATAGATTTTGTAAAAATAGATATAAATATCAAAGGGATGTTTATAATTTTAGAGGATAGCGGGATTATAACGTAAACAAGCTAATTGCGACTAAATGACATTGTATCTGCAGAATTGAGAATGACAAAGTGGAAAGTTACTCGATTACACAGAGCTTTAACAAGCAGGAGAATTGGACTAAAGCTCTCAAATACACTCTTTGCAATTTGAAATGGGCGCTTTATTGGTTTGTGGGCAACACCAACTTTCAGCCCCTTACGGCTGCTGTTTCCCCCCATTCTGAGGTGTCGGGCACTGGAACAGGCTCAGGCTCCAGCTCCACTGGTTCACTGTACAATAAACGAACCAATTGACAAGTGTGTTTAATTCAAATATTTCTGCATAGTGTAATGTGAACAATCTAACTGTGTCCAAAATTGACTATCATGAAAAAATAAAAAAAAAAAGAAAAAAATAAAAAAAACCTCCGAATTTGCTTGTTTCCATTTTGAAAAGGAATGTTTGTAAATAATCAGAACATGTGATCGGGATTGTTTTGCTAGAAAAAGATGTTTTATAATTCTATAATATACGCGTCGTCTTCAGAAAAAATGTATAGGAATGTGGATGTTGGCTGTGATTTCCCAAGTCTTGTTATTCTATATTTCTATTTATTCTTTGCTACTTCACACAATGTTGCAATGAATTAATCATTTTCTCTAAACTATAACTCTTGTAATACTGCTGATTCAAATCACTCTTTGTAGATGCACAAGTTTGTGCAAGCAGTAGCACGCTTGATAATCCACAAGTAAAATTATCTAAAAATTCTACGATCAGATTGAGAAAACCAAACAAATACTGTCCCTTTCTCACATATATTGCATGACTGAAAAATGGCAAGCAGAACATGCAATTGTGACACTCCTACCCGTGCAAGAATCAATCACTAGAAATCCTTAACCAACCAGACTCTACCCACACTATATCCATAACCTTCGCCACACCAGTTTTCAAGCAAAATAAATAAACATAACTATTATAAGCTCGAAATTAGAAATGATGAATCGTCTCCTTTACGGGCTAATTCTTGCCTCACTTGTTATGAAAGCTGTACTTTCAGTGCCTTCATGCACAGAAGTACTGAACGACTTAGCGCCTTGTCTGGGTTTCCTGCAAGGCAAAATCAACCAGCCGACTGTACAGTGTTGTGATGGGATGAAGGCCTTGAAAGCAATTGTGAAAACAAAAGAAGATCGTGTGGCTGCTTGTAATTGTGGGAAACAAGCACTTTCCATGGTCAATTACGACCCAAAAAAGCTCCCTCTTATTCCCAATAAGTGCGGTGTCGACTTCAACCTGCCTCCAATCGACAAAAACTTCGACTGTTCCAAGTAAGCTAGCGAATACAAATCGTGTGAGATTNAATCTAACATTAGGGGTGGTTATGTTGTAATTTTTTGTTTTCTTTTTTACGTTGGGATTATGCTAATGTGTGGCTTAATTGATATAGGGCCTGAGCTCGACAATGATGATTTGCGTCAACTGGGACTAATTGTGGCAAGTGGGATGAAAAAACAGTGTTATATAATATTAGTTTATGAAAATGGAATAAATGTGGTTGGATTAGGCTACTAAATAATTTGAATTTATGTACTGTATATGTAACTGGGCCTGTTTTAATTTTATGTGTTCGATCAATGAAGGAGAATAGAGAATTCTTGCCCAGCGGAATGATGAGTTTTTTGCTTCTACTAACTCTGCGAGCCAAAATATTACACATATAAGGCATGCTTGAAAAAATTAGAACAAGAGGTGGCCAAATGTCGGCCCGGTTCACGGCCTGGCCCGGCCCGTGGGGTCGGCGGGCCTCATATGCTGGGCCCGTGACCGGCCTGGCTATTCTTATGAGCCGGTTCAAGCAAACCGGCCCGACCCGACGGTTCAGGGTTTTTTTTATATAAAAAAAGTAAAATAAAAAATAAAATCAACTATGACCCGCCTTCAAACCCACAGCTTGACCCGGCCCAGCCCGGATTGCCGAGACTCAAAAGGAAGGCCAAGGTTCCGGTTCAACGAACCGGCGAAATCCGGGCCGGTTCGGGACCGGTTCAGTGCCGACGGGCAGGGTTGGCCCTTGGCCATCTCTGCATAAGATTAATTAACCAAATATAAAAATAGTCATGCTGACTAATTTTTCTTTTTTTGGAAACAATTATATTATTATTAATAACTAGAAAACCCAATAGAGTACAAACGGGGTGTCAATTGTCGCTAAAAGAACCAGAAAACCTGGATTTACCCCCTTTGGAACAACACAGGTGTCTAAGGGAGTACAACCTCCATTAAAGAGACAAAAATCAATGCAAAAACACGACTCTATAAAAGAGACTAGATGCTGGACACCACTAGACTTAACGAAACAAAACAAAAACAAAAGAAGACAAAAAACAACACACACCTAATATACAAAAAAGTAAAATCTCTCGTAGTCCTAGCAGATGAACCACACGACCACTTAAGCTGACAACCGAGTCAGACCCCACGACTAAGAATCCCAAATTCCCAATAGAGCAACATAACTAGATTCCAAACTCAATAATTGCAGTTACTCAAACAGTCTAGTCGGATTATCAGAACAGATTTGTCGGCCCCGGCGAAAAGAGGGGAGCCGCTAAGACACTTGAGGGTTCGAGACTAGGCTCCAAGGAAGCACTGTCAAGGGCTGCTCGCTGCCGTGCAACTCAGCAAACTGGCGACTTGGTAGAAAAGGGCATGGCGGCTCAGTCGAGCAGCCAACCTCCAAGAAGCAGAAAAGAGGCACACAAATCGAAAACTTGCAGAGCGGCGAACTTCCACGGCTGGGGCTGGACACGATGACCGACGACGTACTGCCCCCTGGACAATTTTGCCCCTGATATTTTTTTAAAAAAAGTAAAAAAAAAAAATCTCGTCGGCCGGCCGGCGAAACCGGTCGTAACCGTGCCTGTCCGGTTTCCCCGATAGGACACGCCGTGCGCTTCCGGTTTTGCCGGTAGGATGCACAATTTTTTTTAATAATTAAATTTTTATTAATTATATAAATTATGTTAGAATTTAGATATTAGTATGTTATAAATGAGAATTTATTATCTTATAATTAGAATATAAAAATTATTATATTATAAATTATAATTGATTATCTTATAGAATTTTATTATTATTATATTAGAACTTAAAAATTATTATGTTATATAACATAATACTAATTATCTGTAGAAACATAGTAGTTATCTATAAGAAAAATATAATAACATTTATAATTATTTTTTATTAACAAAAATATACATTAAATAATATAATGGTTTATAGTTATATTTTAAAATAATACTTTTTCCAGAAATAAAAATGTATTTCTAATACTAATTAAATTTTGAATAATGTAAAAAATAATTTTACAAGATAGTCAATTCTAATTTATAACATAATAATTTCTAAGATCTAACATAATAATAATAAATTTTATAAAATAATAAATTCTAATTTATAACATAATAATTTCTAAATACCACATAATAATAAATTCTAATTTATAACATAATAATTTCTAAATTCTCACATAATTTCTATAATATAAAATTTTGATTTGTAAAAGAAAAATAGAAAAAAAAACTGGCCGGCCGGCAGTACTGGCCGGCCGGCGGTACCAGCCGGCCGGATTTTTTTCTTTTTTTAGTGTTTTGGAAAACTTTAGGGGCAAAACGGTCCAAGAGAGGCGGTAGGTAGTAAAAGAGGGCCGGTATTTAGTAATTAAGTTATATTTTTCAACTTATTTATTATTTAGGATAATTTATTTTCTTTGATGTATTATGTGTTATTTATCATTATATTGGAGTATGTTTGTGGATCCGAAGTATTAAACGAAAGTTTATGCTGTCAATTATCGGGGCCCCCAATACTCCACTATTTAGGTTCGAACCTATTGTTTTGATGAGGGCTACAACAACAACAACATACCCAGTATATTCCCAATAGGTTGGGGTCTGGGGGTTCAGTTGTACGCAGACCTTACCCTTGTAGTTATACAAGGAGGCTGTTTCCGTAGCGACCCAAGGTGCATTGTGCCATTTGATATATTTTTTTTTCTAGAAACTTCACTAATAGAAGAAGTATTAGAATTTAATTGAGTCATTTTGATCTAGTCCATTATTAGCACTATGCCAGGAGAATTGTCAACAATGACTCTTCCAGCTCCATTTACAATGGACAACTGATGAGGGCTGAGATTAAAAAAAATAAAAAATAAAAAATAAAAAATAAAAAAAACAGATGAGGGCTGAGAATAAAAAAAACATGAAAAAAAAAACTTAAATTTTATTTTCTGTGACATATTGAATGCACATGGGCAGTGACTCGATAAACTGAGGGTAGTAATTGAAAAAAAATAAAAAATAAAAAATAAAAAAATTTGCCTTGTTGAATGAATTGATTGGCTAACGCATGACTTATTGAGGAAGCACGCAACTAATATTCAAAGAGGATAATTAGAAGAAAGAAAAAGCTGTACAATATTGGTTTACAACATTGGATGACACGATTGATATGCAAATAAATATTTCTAAGGTTGACTTATTGAATTTTTTTTATATATTTTCAACTAAAGTTGTAAACTAATGTTGTCATGCAATATTGTATGTGTAACATTTAGAAGAATCCAATATATGTTGGGAAACTTACGTCCAAGATAGAATTGGAGAGGAATACCATAAAGAATAGGCTCAATATAAATAAAGCAGGAGACCTTTTGGGTTGCTCTCGCACAGAGGACAACACAGACAGAAGGCACGTAAAGTAGGAAAGATCCATATCTCCGAGGAAAGTCACACCCCCACCGGAAGGAGATAATTATATTATTCTCTTTTATATATAATTATATTATTCTCTTTAATTTATATACTATTAGTAGTATGTTAGTCTAGAATTTTATCCAATTTGAAAGATATTTGGACCCTACTTTCAATTTGTCAATGAGTTGCAAAATAATGTATATACTGTATCAATTACATTAATCAAGTTGCAAAATTTAATTTAAATTTACTTTTGTAAATAACATTGAATTTTTTCAGCAAAAAAATTACTTTAGAAAAAATATTCAAAACACTTGACCCTGTCTTGTTTGAATTTTTACTCAAAAGGTTTTCTGTTGACCAATGATCAGCTCAGCCAACCGAATCGAGAAATAGTGTATATTATATCAGTTACATTAATCAAGTTGCAAAATTTAATTTAAAATTACTTTTGTAACTAACATAGAATTTATCCAACAAAAAATACAATAAATGCGAGATTATGTTTTTCCACTACATATACCTATTTGAGGCTTAATATTGTTCACCTTGTGCATCATATGGTGAGGATACTTGAATATGTGTTGAATTGACCTTTGAAGATGAAAATATTTATCAATATTCCAAGTGAACAATGGAAGAGAGGTATGCAATAATGTACGGGATTGATTGCTCTCTTAGTTTCCTAGTCTCTTGCAAAACTTACGACGCATATCGGACAAAATTCTTATCAAGCTAAATATACCAAGGAATTATTACAAAAATTGTACCAAAAGTGTAGTATAATAATAATAATTAGTACAATACCCGTGTATTACACGGGTTTTTGAATTAGAAAGCTTTTGTAAAAAAATATTAAATTTTTTATTTTTTTTAAAAAGTAAAATAATTTAATTTTATATAAAACATTACTTTGGATTTTAATTAAATTGTCAAATTATATTTTTTTGATCCTAATAATTAAACACCCGTACATTAAATGAAAATGTCAACCCGTGTTGAATTTTTTTACTTATATTATATAAAAATATCGATATTATTTACTATTACATAAGTACAAAATTATATATCTTAAATAAATAGAAATAATATGGTGATATGTAAATGCATAAGTGTAGAATATGTTTATTTAATATTAAGCAAAATAGATTAATTTTTTACTTAATTAGATGCCTAATACATCAACTATCGTATCAGTCGTGCTTCACATTTTTTTTTCTTAATATGTAATTTTAGAATTTATATAAATAAATATTTATTTTTATTACATTGATAACATACCAATTAGATTTGAAATAAATATTATTTTTAAAATAATACATACCAATTTCTATTACTTTATAATATAATTTATAGTTTTATTAATTATTTATTTTTATTACATTGACAACATACCAAATAGATTTGAAATAAATATTATTTTTAAAAAAATACATACCAATTTCTATTACTTTATAATATAATTTATAGTTTATTTGATATAATTTAATTTAGTTTGATAAATTAGTTTAAATTTTATTTATAACGATATATATTACTGTTTTGCATTTTATATTTATACATATATATATATAGTAAAATACAAACGGACTTCATAATATCAATTCAAATGCAACACAGTAATTAAGATTTTTTTCTTGACATTATTAACCTTATTTAATGGATGTTATGGAAACGATGGAGATGGGATATGAAGAGACACTGTGTATTAGATGGAGGGTTAAAATTGAAAAATATGTACAAAAGATCTAAAACGACATTTATTTTATCAATGATCATTTAAGCCAAAGTTGACAAATAATAAAAATATGAGGGAGTATATATTATTATATATTTTAGTATGACAAGTGTTAATTGTGCGACTTATATGTGTTATAACATATAACTACATAAAACATAAATATATTAATTGATAAATAATTTTATTTTCTAATTAATTTTTAATAAATAAAATAAATAATTTTATTTTTTAATTAATAAATCATTTTATTATTATTATAAAGTTAAATATAATTTATTTATTGTATATATACAATATGGATATCAAATCGAAGCTCATCAAAAGATAATTAATTTGATATATTATATATGTAAAACCAATAAGAAATACAAAAGTTATCAAGTTTTAAAATATATTTGCAATTCAATGGTTATAATAGGAAATAATATTAAAATACAAGTAATACAAATATTAATTTATATCCAAGCCTAACTCCAAAGCATGATTTTTTGCCAAATAGAATTCCGAAGAATGAGAATTTGCCACGTAGGCTCAGCGCATTCTGAAATTAATGATTTTTTGCCAAATAAGATTCCGAAGTAGGCTCAGCGCATTCTGAAACTATATATAGAAGGGATGATAATAATAATAATAATAATCATAATAATAATAATAATAATAATAATGAAAGAGCCCCAAAATTTTGCACTTAACATGATGGTGCAGACTAGAATCATATTCTCACATAACATAAAAACAAATTAAAAAAAAGGAAGTAGACAAACGAAAAATGAAATTCATCCATACATTCAAAATGCATCTACACAGTCTATATTACACGAGTCCAACATTGGACCGCATCAACATCCGTAACACAATATCACCTCAAAATCCCAAATACAATTGTATTATTCTTGTCGAGAAAAGTACAACATAGCATGATAAGATCTTGGTTTTCAAAGATGTTATCATGTGTTGGAATATCCATTATTACACAGATTATGGTGACTTGTAAAACTTGAAAACTAATAATACCTTCTTCTACAATAGGTGGAGAGCTGGCTATGCTATCCGAAACTCTAAAGCTCTATTGTTAACTAAGCCCTCACCACATGCTTAATATAGAGAAAGCTAATATTCTTTCTCTGTTCTAACCAACAGAGAACAGAGTTTTAGCATAGGCCATCGGCCTCTTTCATTGTACCGAAAAATAATATTCTTTCTCTGTTTTTGCTTCTTTAGACATCATTATTATGGTCCATCAACCTCAACCCAAAATTCGACAAACTTGATCTGGATAAGATTGTCTGACCTTTAAGGCTAGGATTTTTCTTCATCCGACGGTGGGCATTGATCGGGAACAGAATCAGAGTCAACAAAGAACTCCTCCACTGAAAAAACAATGGCAGCCACAAGAGTGAGAAAGTCGTACTGAGGATTTTAACAGTATTACCCAAATTAGCCTCGACAATTGACCCTAATGCGAAAAACATTAGTTGATTTTTCAAAATTTTAAGCACTATCTGAAATTGTTACAAACACCCCTTGATCCAGTTTGTAAAATCGAAACATTATCAGTGCTGTATTTGTTTCTTGAGTGTTTAGTTTTGTTTTTAATAATATTGAATCTCACAAGGATATTTATTATTGCAATTAACCTGAATCAAAATTTCAGAAAGTAGCTAAGGAAATGGCAGTCACCATACATACCTATATCCTCTTGTTCCGGAGAATGAAGTAGAATATCTGAATCAGAAGGTAAAAATGGAGAACCGGGATAGTTACCAAGAGCTCCTAAATCTGCATTAGTAAGTTGTATAAGCAACAATTATGACTGAAAAATATTTAACGCAACAAAAATAGATAAGAAATAAACACAGAATTACAAAATCCTGAAACAAACAGCAAACATGAGGCAACTGCTCAGAAAAAGGTTTCAGAGTATTATGCATTATTCACTCATTCTCACTTTTGTTCAGCTGTTAATCATATCAAGCCAATTACAGTAGTTGAAACTTGAAAGAACCAAATTAAGTATTATCATTAAGCATTTTCTCATAATCTTCAATAATTCACCGGGCACACTTTTCCTAGCACCAAACATATCCACAAGCCATAAAACTATTCATCCCAACAACTCGTCTCAAATGCTAAAATAATTTCCCGCTCATATCTATATATAGTAAATGCAAATCACTAAATGCCTAGTACTAATAGTTACTTCCAGCAAAGACACAATTCAATAAAGATACCAAACATTTAGCTCCACACAGCATAATTAATTCACATTATGCTCTAAAC